TCAAGCTGGAAGGAGTTAAAAACATGAAACTTTGTACAAGAGGAACGAGAACGAAGGTCTGAAGTATCATCTTCCAATCTGCTTGATGCCATAAATCTACAAGCCATTCATAAGGATCATCACTAAAAGGCTGTCAATATGCCTGACGAACAACAGGTAAGAGAACAAGCAGAATCTGAAAGAGCTACAGCACAACGGATAATGGCACTACCGTAAACCAACTCATCGAGCGCATGGTGGAATGCCAGGATTCTTTGTGAATTGCTTATGTCAATAACGAGAGAGCATTTGACACGGTTGAGCATAACAAGTGCTGGCTGTATTGGCAGAACAGAACATCGTCACCCCTTACATCTACCTGCTTAAAGAAGCGTACTGTGGCTACTTCACAAACATCACGTTGTTCGACACCCTCTGAGTATTCCCATAGAGATGGGAATGAAATGACGGATTTCCATCTATCCCAAACTCTTTACTATCTGCTTTGAAATAATCTTGCGGCGGATGAGCCGTAAGGGTGGAATTAACATCAACAGCTGAGCCACCTAGGATCCGCTACCCAACATCTGAGGTACATGATGTTATTTGCCAAAAATGCCTGTCAACTGCAAGTTCTACAAAAAATGTGCAGTAAAGGAAGAAGATACCGCAATCGGATCCTTTGCTGAAGATCAGTAATATTAAATTGCGAAAGGATCAATGAAATCTATAAATACCTTTTCCTGGATCAAAATGGGGAATAATTGGGCTGAGGTGATTCAGAAGAGAGCGGGTGGATTTGACGCGCGTTCCTCTCCGTCAAGTACGCTCTCCTCGACATCTTCAAAAAAATGCCATGGCTTGGGGAAATTCCTTGCTGGAGGGAATTAGCAAGGCTAAATTTTGCAGCATGCGGTACTCGAAACTCACAGTAATCCCGTTATTCAGTGCAGCACCATCAATAGACCTTCTCGCCATACAGGCTATCATATGTTGGATCAACTATTACACTCGCCTTGAAGAAAATGGCCACACCAAGTTATCAAACTCTTTTGTTCATTCCTAGATTATAAGTACAGTATAAATTTTGCAGCCTCTTAAATCGAGCCATATTG